TTAAAGAATTTTAGCAGTTTGTAGCAAGTATATTATAATAAAATATCAGATTCATTTTTATTCGATTACAAGCATATTGAGGGTTTATATAAGGTTCACATCTGGCTATATGCATATTCACATGCATGTAAGGGATTTTCCAATGGTATAATTCAGTTAAATTAGTTCGAAAACATATAATAGCTAATCAGAGGTATGATTGCCAGAAATTCGGAGTATAAGATGATTTTAATACAAGCTGTGTGGATCTCTCGTGATTAATAGGGATCTACCAGCTAATTAGTTGATTTTACATTAACAGAACGGGATAAATATCTTTTACGTTTCATCTTTTTATTACCAGATCTTTTCTTCACACATTTTACTTTGTTAAGTGGCGTAAAAACTGATTTCCTAGGTTTCTCCTCTATTGTATAAGCTTCTTCAGCTGAGCTTGACTCAGATGTACTGGACTCAGATGATTCGGTCATAGCATTATATAGATAATAGATTTCTTGGCTAATGCTTTTAAGATTTTGATGTATTTTAGTTATATCACGTTCTAACGCTATAATGTTCTCTTTGATCTCTTGAATAGCATATACCTTTTCTTTTTCTGAATAATATATATAATATTTTTTAGAAGGCATTTTTATATATCTGAAAAAAAATAAACTGAATATTTATCACGTCAGAAAAAAAATCTAATATAATAATGTATGTGATCTAACTATACATCACTATTTAACTTATGACTGAAAGCTAGATATGTGAGACACACATTCGTTTTGGTATTTCTCTGAGAACTTGGCCCTCATAGCTCTTTTTTCAGCCTCTTCATGAGGTATATCATTTTTGATCATATTCTTATATATCATAATTCGCCAATGATTATATGGTAAAGTGGTAATTCCATCAGATAAGATCCAGTGCTTAGTATCTATGGGGCAGAGGGCCTTCTTCTCAGACTCGACTAGAGATAATATGTGATCCTTTGATCAGATACCTACATTCTTTGCATAGAATACTTCCTTACCAAAGAGACAGTCCCGATATACTTGGGTCATAGGATCAAAAACTTCAGATTGGTCTACTGGATCATCTAGCAAAGTTCCCCCTAAGGATGGGAAGTATGTATTAGTTGCCATCTCACTCATACCTTTTTTACTAACCTCCTTATATCTAGAATTCATGGTCTTATCTGCTAAGATATAGTGGTAAGATTTGGCCTAAATATGTATAGACTCAGTGATTACATTACCAGGCGTCTCATTCTTGAAAAGGCCTATAGTTTTAGAGTCATTGAAATCGAAGAGATTTGGTCGCTCAGCTATATCTTTATAGATATCTTCAGTCTCGACTTAGAATATGAAAGAGTTTGTATCCATATACCTGAGCTTGGCCTTATCCCCATATTTATCCTTAACATAGTCATACCAGAAGCGGTACATTAAGACCCAAGACTGATGCTCTGACTATGATGAGCTTATTGAGAGTTACGCTAGCCTTTCCCATATGCGTTCCTACTAATATAGGTCCAAGCGGTCTGCTATACTTGAATGTGGGCTTCTAGACTTTATTAACGAATTTTTTCTCATCCCTCTCATTATTCATGGCCATGATCTTGACATTCTAGTATTTGCGAACATTTTCCATAGTCTTGTTATATACTGAGTTGTTCATGAGCTTGAAGAAGTCCTTCTCAAATGCATTCTTTATATTCTAGCGTAATTTGGTATTTTTTGCAATATATGGCGCAAGCCAGTTAGTCTGGTCGAAGGATAAAATCTCTGTAACTTCATCTACAACCATA